GTGTAGAACCAAGCTACAAACTAGCAGAAGACTTTATATTACCTACTTATCTGGACACTTGGATGGCTAGTCGCAACTGGTTGTGCGTTTTCCACCAGAATTTCCTTTCTCCGGAAATTTACCGACCTTGCCATTGTGGTTTCTCGGAACTCTGACGTCGGTCTGGCCAAAGTCTGTCTCAGGTCGCCACCACGCTAAGAAGTCGCCGGCCCTGTGGATCAGAGGAAGAACTGCAAGCAGTTTAATACGAGAACGGTGGTGAATCCTGTTAATGGCTTACTCTTATATAAGCTACCAGATGGAAACATCGCACTGGTTCTCAGCTTGGAAAGCCCTGCCAGAGGAAGAATCCTCCTGGTGAATACCGCAAACCGACACCTAGGAACTACTCTCAGCCACGACGAAGCGGTAGACTGTTGGGATGACGGCCCACTGTTTATACTATAAACTATGTGCATTATGTAAGAGAGACTATGAAGTGAATTAAACAGTAATGAAGTACTGATAATAAATAAAAGATGAAGCCCTCAGCGTTGGTCACTACCTGAGGGATGCGCCATGCATTCGAGCTCATTAAGTATTGTTGGAGGTGAAAGAATGCATATTTAGCCCTTACAATGACTCGCGGTGGGTTACCGATATATCGAGCCAGTGCTTTCACTCTATCAGATCAGTCTGGTACCAATTTGCTGATTTCAGAGGGATGGAGGACTTGGCGAGCCATGGACACAGGGATCGATTCCACGGATGTGTTGCAGAGCGCTTCCCACTACAGTGTCAGACATGCCGTCATAGTAGCGACAATAAGGGAGTATAATAGCAACAGCGAAAAAGAACAGCTGCTGAAAAGAAGATGTGTTGCATTTTTATGTTTCTATTTTCAGACTAGCATCAGCCATAAAGATATATCAGATCCTCAATATCCTACCACGTGAAAATATATAGGATGTGACCCATACTTGATATCGCAAACAACTTCTAAACAACAACCTAGTTCTTCGAACCGGCCAAGTACGATAGCTGCCCTGCAAGTTCTGGAAAAATCCTACAAAGGAAAACCGGCGAATGTCATCCACTAACAAAATTGACGTACGGTAATACAAAGTTTTCGAAATTGCAGACAAAGCAAAAAAGGCGAAACCAAGAATTTAGATCGGACGGGGATTACCGTCAAGAGGCGGCTCTATGTTTATTCACCTTGGACTGGTTTTTTAGTTTTAAATGGAATTCTGGACAGCTCTAAACTTGCTGAGCTTGTAGCAAGTATGCCAGTAGGCTGTTAATTGAATTATATTGACAGGAGACCCCAACGTCATTTTGTAGTATGAGACAACCCTTTTATTAGAGCAGGAAGCAAAACTTGGAAAAAAAAACCCCGATAGCTTTAGTTGTTCTTTCGATTGCATCGTGTTTTATTTTTTTTTCTGCGTGTTATCTCGTTCTATTTTCATGGTGTCGCTAGCTGATTTTCCTCTCTAAATGAGCTTATGCTTGCATGAGGTAATGAGACAGAAGCTATACGGTTTCA